TTTACTGCTTGTGGGCAATATAGGTATATACTAAGTTTCAGTCTTTCTAGTGTTAAAAAGGAAACAGAAGGAAAAAATGTATATTAGCGGAATTATAAACATAATCGTCGAGCAGGAATCGACGCTGGCGCGAGAGTACGTCCACGTAGTGGGGACGGGAGGATACCGAAAGGTGTGAGTATAGACGAGTTCGGGACAGTTGCCGCGCGTACTTTGTTACGTTCGGGTCGTTTCTTGTCGTCGGTGACTTCGAAACGAGACGAGACGAACGCGTATAGTGATTCCGGCTGATGTATTGAAATTCAGTTACTCGGCTCATCCTGTCCGTGCTGCTAGGTGAGTGTTGAACATCAACATTTCGTTGCACGAAATCTATTATCGAAATGGAATCGTGCGGTGTAGTAAGATGCTGAGCTCCCTCGTCATAGCTGTTCTATGTTCATTATTTCGATGGTATATCACATTTTGCTGGATGTTTTCTCGTTCAAAAGTTCTCGCATAAATAATTGATAAATTTAATTAATTTTATTCGTGGATTCATCCACGAAATTCGTGAAAGAACAGAAACATTTCTCTGATCATTTTTTTCTATTTTTTACTATATAGTTCCATGCGTCATTTTTAATCACACCGGATTAAAGCCACGAACTGACAGAGATTTGCTTCTGAGCCCTTCAACTTCACTGGGAATTTTGGCACAGCGGGACACACGTCGTGCAATATGAATGACGACCCCGTTCGTGAAGTGACTACGTCATTCACAGTCGCACGACACGGGCACGCGACATTCTAAAGCCAAGTTCCGTTTAATTTGTGGAAATCTCGTTACTGCTAATAAAGAATTCAGGAATCAAGAAAATCAATCGAAACTTGGACGTGGCATCTTTGAAATATAGTATACCACGACCTTTGCTCATAATTATGATCCCAGCATCATCCTACGTCTAATTAACGGGAAAGCTATATTCCTCGGTATTTAGTATTTCAAGTAGGAGGAACTTTCCGACCTCCTCGGTTAGGCGGAATATCGTCTGCAGTTACTGCAGCACCGGCGATTATTCATCCGTGCACCTCCGTTGATACACGTCCTCGCGATTTCCAATTACCCGCAACTCCCCCGACACGTCGCCCAGTACCAGTCATTATTTCCCCTACGAGAGAAACAAAAGTTCACTGCGGCAACGCGCGCTACGTTTTAATCAAGCCCCGTTTCTTTCTTCGCACGCGTTTTATCGCCTCGTTTACAAGTGTAACGCGACGCTCTCGTAACGAGACTCTTTTCAATCCGTTACACCCTGCACGTGTTTAATAGCAATCAGTTTATTATTGGTCTCGCTCGTTTTAAGATTAATTATTACAACCAACGGTTCATTGGAAATATTTATTGTGATAAAATAACATTTAAGGTTGTTCGATAGTTGGGTAAAGTATCAAGCAAAGGCTCTGCAATGGGCTTATTTTAAAATAAGAAAATTTCATTATTAAAATGTAGATTATCATTTCCAGGTTCATA